GAGAGGGCGCTGCCTCTGCTTCAGGGACGTTTGGGCTCAGAACACCCGGGTTGATGACCTCGGCCGTGGCCCAGAGGCAGCTGGGACTTCCTCAGCTGGGCTAAGCGGACTAGGGGACGATGAGGAGGAGAGCAATAATAATAACAGCTAGTGTTAGTTCCTCTGTATCATTTAATCCCTGCACCCCGCATGCAAACACCAGCAGCCATGAGGAATCCTCGCCCTGGTTTTAAAGATGAGGAAACCGGAACTCAGAAAGCTTAGCGACTTGCCCAAGGCACGCAGCTGGCCAGTGGGAGGGCAAGTGTTGCATCTAAGTATGTCTGACCCAAAGCCCTCGCTGATAACCCTAGGCTAGAGGATGGCCTGAAGGCAACGGGAAAAGAGCACATTCCCAGACCCAGCAGCCTGGGCGGCTGGCAGAGCCTGACTATAAAGCCAGGGAGGCCTGCCCAGGGCAGGGAGCCCACAAGAATGTGGAGCAGGAAGGGGTAACCTGAGCACCCAGCAACTCCAGGGTCAGAACCCAGAGGCTGCCCGCTCATCCCCGGGTCCAAGCCAGCCAGGGCAGGCCACTCTGGCTGCAGCTCAGGGCCGCTGGGCAGAGGAAGGAGCCACTTCTCTTCACCGCAGCTGGGTTTGCCTCTTCCTGGGTGCTGGGGCCCTGCAGAGGAATAACATGCTATGGCTTCAGAGCCCCAGTTTTCTCATCCGGAAAGTGGGAGTGAATCTCACAGTTATGGGCCCTGGGCCTGGTCAGTGGTATCATACCACATGCATGATACACGCAGACAGTAACAGCTCCGCCCTCGTTGCAACTGGACAAACGCATGGCTGGGGATGGATGGAGGGCAGCACACATGTGGCTGCAGGGCATCCACTGGCTCCGGTGTCTGAGACAAAGGTGTAAATGCAGTGCCAGAGCCCTAGCCGGTTTGGCTCAGTGGAGAGAGCTTCGGCCTGCGGACCAAAGGGTCCCAGGTTCGATTCCAGCGGAGGGCATGTACCTTGGTTGCAGGCTCCTCCCCGGCCTGTGCCCTGGTCAGAGCCCATGCAGGAGGCAACCACGATGTGTCTGTCTCACATCAATGTTTCTCTCTGTCTTTCCTTCTCTCTCTCTCACTCTCCCTAAAATCAATGGGTAAGGATTAAAAAATATCCTTGGGTGAGGAAAGAAAAGAAAAAAAAGAAAAGGGAAGGAAAGGAAAGGAAAGGCAAGGAAAGGAAAGGAAAGGAAAGAAAGGAAGGAAATGGGGGCCAGAGAGCCCAGTGCCACATCTAGGAGAGCCACCTCCAACTTTGGGAGGGAAACCCAGGCAAGAAGCCGACTTGGCACAGGCCTGCCACTCAGACACCTGGTTCCCAGCAGCTCACTGCCTTCCCCTGGCTGTTCATCACAGCCTGTCCCGACCATGGCCCTTCTGTGCCTCTGGGGCGCCCTGGCCACTCTCCTGACAGTGCTGGTCTCTGTAAGGACAGGTCCCTTTTCTCCTGAGGTCAGCCGAACAAGGTTAGACTTGTCCCCAGGAGAATGCGTCTAAGAAACTAGAGCGGAAACAAAACCAAGAAATTAAAATGCAGCCACCTGCAAACAAGAGAACTTCCAACTCCTTATTCTGATAAGAATCTGGCCCCAGACTGGCCTGGCAGCCTCCTGCGCTGCCTCCTCACCACCTCCTCCTCTCCGCCCTTCCAGAACCTGCTTCCTCTAGCCTTGAGCGGCATCAGCCCTTCCCCTGGCCCTCGCCCGGAGCAGCTTGAGCTCCTGGAAAACTCAACTGGCTGCAGAAAGTCCTCCTTGGGCCCCCACTCTCCCATGAGGAGAATACCTCCGGGCAGCGTGTCTGAAACGTCTGAGGATGTAGCCGGTGATGGCAACTGCAGCGAATGGGAGCTCCATGACAGCAAGACTTCCTTTTGTTTTCTGCCCCCTCCTCTGTGACTGGCCCATGGTAAACGCTCATGATGTTTGTTGGATGAACGGTAACTATGAACATGAGCTGGAGTGTGTACATATCATCTCTAGAAGGACCCATAAGAGCCCAGGATCAGTGATGGTGTTCGGATAGATGAAAATAGATGCCTAAGGAAGGAGCTATGAGGAGGAAGCTACTCTTTACTGTAAACCAATCTGTACTTCTTGATGTTTATTTTTTTTCACTGTGCATATATAATAACTATTTGAAATTAAAAACATAAACCATTTACATTAGCACAAAAAAAAATGAAATGCTTTGGTATACATCTAGCAAAATATGTAGAAGAGCTCCAGAAGAAAAACTATAAAACTCTGATGAAAATCAAGGAATGTAAGGCAGTAAG